CTGCTGCTGCTGCTGCTACTTGAGATGTCCATCCCTGGTCTGCGTGACGCAGAACGGCGCCTCTTGGGGCCCTCTTGGAGCCATCCTGGTGCCCTCTGGGAGCTGCGTCGGACCTTTAGGGGCGGTCTCAGGGGCCCTCAGAAGGCCCCAAGAGGGGCTCTTGGGCTCTGATGGGCCCCAGACCTTGGATGCGAACCTTGCGTCCTAGGTTTGCCCCTCCCGATGGGCCATCTTGGAGCCCTCCTGGAAACATCTAGGGGCCCTCTGGGAGCCGTATCGGGGCTCTGAGGGCGGTCTCAAGGGCCCTCAGAGGGCCTCAAGAACGGATTTTGTTTTGTCCCCCCCTGATTCAAGGCTTTTTTTCCCGAGGCCCTTTTGGAGCCCAAGACAGCCCATGACGCGCGCAAGACAGCCCAAGAAAGCCCCAAGACGAAGATGAGGGGGATTCAACGAGCGCGGCCAACCATAAACAAAACAAGCAAAGAACAACAACACATGGGAACAACACACATAACAAACAACCAACAACGCTATGTTCCGTTTAGGGCCGCGAGGGCCCGTGAAGGGCGGGCATTGCAATATAATGTTGGATTTGTAATCGGATTTCGCACTAGCCATTTTGGCTCAATCAAGCTGTTCGTTCAGGCGCTCGTTGGCCATTGGGTCGATGCACTGGTTGGCTGATGTGTTGACGGGGACGCCCCCGCGTCGCAGCCACTATGATGATCGGGCAGAAGACTTGTTGAATCATCTGCTGGACAGCCCTCCTGGCAGAGGCTGTGGAGCAGGCGCTGCCGGTGCAACCAGGATGGCCAGGCAGCGCGTAGATGTTGCTAGTAGCAGCAATGCCCGCGGCCGCAGTGGCGCGCCTGCGGCCCGAGTAGAGGAGCAGCGCGCAGTAGCTAGGGCAGTCAGGCAGCGCGTTGGGAGCGCGGCGCCTGTGGCCCAAGTGGTGGAGCAGACCTGTCCACCATCATTATTAGCTGGTGGAGTTCACCAGGAGAGCGCGCGCCTAGGTGGAGCTGGTGCCCACATGTCGCGGCCAGCTGGAGGCAGCAGGGTCGTTGCCAGAGCCGATGGACCAGGCGCCAGTGGAGAGGGCCAGCTGGAGGCAGCAGCAGGGCCGCTGCCAGAGCCGAGGGGGCAGCACCGACAGTCGAGGTGTTGCCGGAGCATCGTCGTGCGGAGCCTGGGACATCCATCACCAACAACACACGTTGGTGGCAGTAGTGGAGAAGGCCGCGCGAGTGCGCAGCAAGGAGGAACCCCTGTTGACGATGCCAGAACCCATGATATTGCTGGCCCCTCGTGTCCAGCTGCTGCTGACAACGCCCGGGCTCAGGATGCTGCTGCGCCGCCCCTCGACACGTTCTACTTTCTTCGATTCGCGCCAAAGAACGACACAGAGGTGGAGCGCGCCCGTCAGGCCCGCTGGGAGCGTGGGAAGGAGGAGGCCGAGGAGTTGATCACCGCTGCTCTCGAGCGGCATGGCCCTGATGTGGAAGCGGTGGCGCAGCCAATCATGGAGGTTCCCATGGAAGTGCTGCTGCAACGTGTGGCCATGGAGACAGCGCGGGTCACCCAGGGCGGAGGTCGAGCCTACATAGGCTCGACTTCTGACCCTGGGTGGCGGTGGCGCGGCGGATATTATCTACCATCTCCTGGCGATCGAGGCGGCCGCCGTCACAGCCATCATCATAGTGAAAGGGAGTTCTTTCCTGGCCACCACTTGCAATGGCGTCACCTGCTGGTGCTGGGATGCTGGCGTGATCACGAGACCCGTCTCATGGAAAGTGAAGCTATCAAGCACGGGCAGAGGGTTGCACCTGGGCGTCTGACTAACAAAGCGTCAGACGCCCGGGGGCTGGAGGTCCGCCCCTGGAGTTTCTCCTTCGTCTACATCTGCTATGGCACGAAATAATAGGTAGCAGAGGCATCAGAGTTTTTTATCAGATAATAATGTTTTGCATGCTTGCTACCGTGCCCCAAAAATAGCAGTGTGCAGTGCGCCTTGCACTCATATTGTAATGTATTCTCACTGGCGCAAGCACTGGTTCCGCCATGAAGGGCAATCAATATGCAGTCAAATACGGTCAGATGTGCTGGTCCTCCTCTCCTCTTCCATGTCTCCTCCTCCTCCTCCTCCTCCTCCTCCTCCTCCTCCCCCTCCTCCCCCCCCTCCTCCTCCTCCCCCTCCTCCTCCCTCCCTCCTCCTCCTTCCTCCTCCTTCCTCCTGCCCTCTTCCCCCTCCTATTGTCCTCCTCTTCCTCCTGTCTGTCCTCTTCCTCATCATTTGTTGGGGGCCAAAGCACTCTTGGAGTCCGTGTGGAGCAGATTTTTTTTGGAGCTGATGCTGAGATGCGCGGGATTCCCCGGAATCCGGCGCATCTCGGCGCCTGTCAGCATCAGGGCCAAAAAAAATCAGGATCTTGGTTGCATATCTTGATGGAGCAAACGGACCGCGCACCAAGGGGGGGCCGCGCAAGTCGGGCCCCTGGATCCAAGGTGCGAGATGCGCGGGCTTCCCCGGAAGCCCGCGCAAGTCCTGAGGGCAGCGGCGGCCCCGCGCAAGTCCCCCCCCCTGTGGACCCCCCCCCCACTTGTGCGGGCCCCCGCTGGGTAGCACGACTTGCGCGGGCTTCCTCGGAAGCCCGCGCAAGTCCACCCTCTCCTGGGGACCCTCGAGTTGTGCAGGATCTCTGGGGACTCTCCTGATGTACATCCCCCCCTACCTAACTGTTGATAGCATTGCCCATGAAGAGAACTCCATGGCTGTGATGGCCCAAACAGGTTCCTGTGCCACACGGACACATCAATGTAGTTGTCATTAGCTTTGCATTCAAGCACGGTTTGCGATGGCTGACGACAACATACCCACATCGTCCAAGTGGTCATCAGGATGGCTAGACGATGGATGGCAAGGCGACGCTGCTTCTTGGTGGACTTGCGATCCTACTTATCCTGGAAACCAAAGTGCCTGGGGTCCTGGTGGAGTTTCAGGTGGTGATACCTGGTGGTGGAACAATGGGGCTCCTGCTGGTGGGTTTGATGACATGGCGCACTGTCAAATACCTGGTGATCATGATCATGATTCTGACTTGGGTCACCCGGCCTGGGACTACGCAGCCTGGTATCGTGCAGAAGAAGAAGTCGCTGCTCAAGCTGACCAGGCTGCTCAGATGGCCGCTCAGAGTGCTCCGCTCACTGACGACGAGTTCGAACGCATGGCGGCCGCGGACGTTGAGAGCAAGGTCAATTCACGGACGTTGGTGGACATAGAAGGGTTGACATTGCCAACGCCGCCTGGCCTGCGTGCGCAGCTCAACGTCATGGACGACGAGTTCGAACGCATGTCGACCGCAGACGTTGAGAGCAAGGTAAATTCACGGACCTTGGTGGACATAGAGGGATTGACATTGCCAACGCCACCGCCTGGCCTGCGTGCGCGGCACAAGAAGTTTATTCCAGAACCTAGTGACATGGCTGGGCAAGAACTCCGACGTTTGCGGGACAAGAAGAATGCGCGTGAGGCAGTTCGCAAAGCTAAAAGACGGGCCGAAAAACAAAAGCTCGAGGCACAGCAGCAGCATCAGCAATCGCAATATAGCAAGCATCCTCATGTGTAGTTTTCGCAGGCGCAGCAGTGTCAGCATAATTCGCAACACGCTGCATGCACTGCATTGTATTATGATATACAGGTATGCGGGTTGCGTTCTCGCTAGCCTACATGCATTGTGAGTGAGTGTCCGAGTGCGCCTTGGAAAAAGCAAGCAGGGGGGGTGAGTCGAGCGACTTCGCAAGGAGGTGCTAAAGGGTAGCCACATGGTGGCAGCCCTGCTACAACTCGCAGACCGTACATCTTACCCCTCCTGCCGCTAGTTGTGCGAACTCATGGTAGCCAGCTTGCTGGCAACCATGCCCCTACTGCTACTCATGGTAGCCAGCTTGCTGGCAGCCATGGTGCATCGATTGCTCCCCCTCCCCCCTCCTCATCCAGATATGGACGACGATGCAAATGACGAGTGCGACACGACGATGATACTGGTAGCGGTGGCGAGTTTGGTACAGATCAGTGCGTAGTAGTGGGGCCGAAATGTGTTATGGTCTCGTGGTTGTGTTGAGCGTTTTTGGGTATGTCTAGGGGGCTGCCGCTGTGTCACAACACGAGATGTGTGATGGGGGTGCGCTCTAAACAGCTGTGAGTGCATGGTGAATCTGCTCTGTCTGCGGGGGCAGTCTCCCATAAGAAGTACATAGCTGTTCTGGCTCTGCCTGAGGGGATGCATTTTTTCCCTGCGCCTGAGCTTCCTGGCATCAGGATGTCTTGGAACATGGGGGAAGGCTCCCCTGTGGATGCAGCAGGAGGATGCTCCACTCCACCAGCAGGAGGGGCCGCCTCTGCAACGCCAATCCCCCCCCTGGCGACGCATGCGCTGCCCAGCCCGACCAGCCCCATGGCCTGCGCAAGCGTGGATCATCAAATTGGTTTGGGTGATGTGCAAGAGGACCAGTCTACGGAGACCCGCGAGGCCAACATCATTGGGGAGACCATTCGAGCGATGCACACGCTCAGCATCCAGCATGGCAGCCTCAAGACCTACCTCAACAAGGAGTTGGACAGCTTCACTGCGAAGAAGGAGTTCCTTGAGTACCTCAAGCGAGTGTTCCCCGAGAAAGACGACGTTCACTACGAGCATGGCGTGTTGGACCCGATCCTGGAGATGGATAGGGCAGGGTCTTTGCCTCAATGTGTGCATGTCTCGGCGCTGAGCTTCCTGCCTGCATGCAGCCTCAAGCCTCCGCCAGGCTGCGACGTCACAGATCAATTGGTAGGTGAGATATTCCAGGACGGCTTCGTAACGGCTTCGGACCCTTTGTTGGTTACTCAACCAGCTGAGCTTGCAAGTCTTAGCGAGGATGACGATGCGCGTGGCTTCTATCTTGGCTATGCCAAGGGTCAAGCCCGCGCTGTGGCCATCTTATCCATCCTGCTCTACTTCATGAAGAATGAGTACGACCTCAAAGTGGTGCATCTGAAGCTTTATGAGAGCATCCTCGCCATCTACGTGCATTCCATGAAAGTGAACTCCAAAGAAGAAGAGGCCCTTCTGAACATGAAGCTCTCGTGCAGAGGTTCGATCCGGCGTGCTAACAACATCGTGGAAGTGGTCTTCATGCTGCAGAACCTCTCGAACCGTTATGGCATGAGCGACTCAGCTGGCTTCGTGCGCCGGTGGTGTGGACAAACAAACAAAACCTAGAAACGAAGTGTTCGGTGTGGAGTGTCAGTAGATATGTAAGCCATTGTGAGTAGTTCTCATTGTGCCGAATTTCTTAATGTGAAAAGCTGTTCAGGGGATGGGGTCATGCCGTGCGCCAGCGTGTGCGCGCTGGCCCTGCACTGCCCCTCGTGATGGTCAGGCCTGTGTCCAAAACTTGTGATGCATTCTGGACCCCTCTTCTGCCAGGTGGAACAACATGTCTTCCAAGCAGTTCCAGATCACTGGGAAGAGGGCTGTGGCCTTGAAGCAGCTACTGGAGGTGGCACCCAAGAAAGCCCTCGATTCCATCTTGGCTCACGTGGGGAACCTGGGCTGGCAGCAGTGCGTGTGGTCCGAGGAGGTGCTGTCCAACAAGAAGATCTACCCAAAGTTCAACTTCCCTTGCAAATCTAAGAAGTGGATCCCACGAGTGAGGACCACTGACGAGAGCCTCTGCTTGATGATCGAGCGGGTCCAGAACCTACATGAAGCTCAGAACCAGATGCTGCGCGTGAAGATGACCCCGCATGTGGCAGAGATGATTGCTGAGAGCGCAGCTGCTGTGCTTGCCATTGCGCAGGAGATCAGCTTGACCGCGCCGATTGACGATGCGAAGCTTCAATCATCATGGGTGCGAGCATGGGCTGAGGGCTCGGACCACGTGCACACGGAGATCCAGATGGGGCCGATGGAGAAGAGCGACAGCTTCGACCCGGCAGTACACCTATCAACGATGAAGCGCCTACTGGACGAGCACATTTTCCAGGCCCCCCTGGCGCCTGCGGAAGAGGTCAAGCGGTCCCTCGACGTGGACGAATTCAATCTGGACATGAAAAAACTAGAGTACGATACTACGGTGTTCGAAAACTGGGAGAAGAAGTGCGATAATGTTGTCACTGCCCGCTACCATGCAGAGCAGGAGCCATCATGAGGAAAACAACGAACATATCTAAAAACACAGCGTTGGCTGCTCGAAACCCCTGCGATATGACATACTCCCTAATCCTCCTCCTCATCATCTCCACTCCTCCTCCCTCCTCCTCCCCCGTTTCCCCCATCTGCCCTCCCTTCTACTCCTCCTTCTCCTCTGCCCTCTGCCTGTTGGAATGTGCAGTGGACCCTCTGCCCTCCTCCTCTGCCCTCTGGTGCTCTCGTCTGCCCTCTCTCGCCCCCCTTCTGCCCTCTCTTGCTGACCCCTTACATGACGAATTCGAAGGAGAGGAGGGGGAGGAGCGGTATCGTCGTCATCGTCGTCCCAAGCTGTCACCCTTACCATGGCAGCCCCACTCAAACCTGAAGGGCACCTTACGCCTTTATAACCCAGCCCCAAGCCCTGAAACCCAACAACTTACAACGAGGGGTGGGCCTGTGACCGCGCCAAGCAGCCCGCCTGCAAGGAGCATCCGCATTGCACATTTCTCCCCTGCCTCCACCTTCGAAAAGGCCCGTGGGGGGCCCAGAGATACCAGGACGCCTAGGGGTGCCATCTTCTAGTGCTAAGGAGTCCAGGACGCCTCGGGGGCCCCAGGGGCCCAAGAAATCGAGTTGCAGCAACATGTTAAGAACCATGCCCTACACATTGACCTGCTATGTTTTCTGGAGTCGATGCTGGTGGAAATTGGAGCCCATTGGCAGGCCTTCAGAGATCTTTGGCAGTGGTGCTGTTTAGATAGAGGCTCATGCTTCTTGAGCCTCGGACAGGAGCACAAGATGAAGATCAAGGGCCAATGTAGGAAAGCAGCCGAGAAGTTCCTGAGTTCGTGCGTGAAGATTTCAGTCCTGACGGGCAAGGTGGAGGAGTGCATTGCAGACATCATTGCCTTCAAGCGCGACACGATCCAGAAGAAGACTGGAATCTCCATGGACGACCTGCCCACGCTTGTCATGCTGAACTGGACCACCCCATGCTCGTCTCACAATGAGGATTTCGACAAGCAGGCGAAGGTTCTCAACTGGATCCTGCACGAGAATATCAAGAACGTCGCTTGTGTGCTTCTCCCGGTGTACTCGTACAACCGCGGGAAGCTGTACATGGAGGAGGTGAAAGCAGTGAAGGCAATTGGCGATGCTGGGCACAACCCGGACAGCAGCTTCAGCCTGCTCTTCAAAGACCAAGTCGATCCGAGGGACAGGCGGGGTGTTCAGAACTAAAGGACCACCCGTTCTTCACCTGCCAGCTGAGGGTCATCGGGCGCACCAAGGAAGCGAACCAGATTCCTGGCAAAAAGATGAAGATTATCGAGGAGCTCTGGAAACGCAAGGGGTGACATATGTAAATAATGCATGCATGTCTAATCCTGTGTCGTGCGTTTTATATGTGCAGTGCATATTTTTGTTGGCATTGGGGTATCATATAATGAGCATCTGAGCTGGTATATGTTATGAAGGGAGCATGAGTTAGAATAGTCAATATTTCATGGTAGGGCCCTACTGTTGTGCAGTATGTCGCTTGGGGGCAAACCAGACAGTCCAGGGAGGGGTCCTCTATGCATAGATATGGCCAGTCATTGTCCTATGAATGTGTCGGTCAACTGTTGTGACCTCCTCCTCATCCTCCCCCTCCTCCTCCAAGTCCTCATCCTCCTGCTGCTCCTCCTCCTTCTCTCCCCCCATCCTTATCATCGCATTTATCCCCCCCTCTCCTCTCCCCCCCCCCCCCTCCTGCGTATTCCCTCCCCTATCCCCCTCTTTCACATCGCTGCGCCCCTGCCATCGGCGTCCAGGAGCGAAGAAACTTGCTCCTGGAACACTGACCTCTCCTCGGAGACCCCATACCTCAGAAAATTTATGGGCGAATTCAAAGAATACTGCTCCTCCTCTTACCATCCCCCTACCCCCTGTGCCATTAAGATCCTGCAGGACCTCAGCGCGGATGCTTTGCCTCCTAGTACTGACCACCGAGCCTCCTATCTTCATGGCCCCCCAAAGTTCTCCCAGTTCGGGCCCGAGGCGAGCAAGTGCCTCCTTGAGAGCCTCACAACTGGGGCAAACCTAGGATCGCACAAGGCGTGTTTCATTCTGGACCTCAATATCAAGTGCGGCGAATTCCTGGAGTCCTTCATCTCCCAGCGCAACGTCCTTTCCACCAGTTTCTTTTACATGGGGATTGCGGAGACGATGCTGGAATACACGTGGGTAATCCATTCGATGCAGGAGCTCGCAGAAGAAAAAATCAAGGACGGTTCCCTCGAGGTCCCAGGGCTCAAGATGGACTCCAAACTCAACGACGACCTCCTGGAACCTTATCCGGCTCTTCCAAAGATGAATATGCTGGTGGTTAGCGGACCAGACAAGAACAAATTGTTCATCCCGGTCGAGGTGGTGAAGAAGTGGCAGAACCATCCGCAGTTCGGGGGTCAGTTCAGCGAGTGGCTGGACAAGTTCACCAAGAAGCATGGGGTCATCGAGGACACGACCAAGGCACCTGGTGCTGGTGCTGGTGGTGCTGGAGTCCCCAATCCCCTCAAGCGTGCAGCCGACGGTAACGATGGGATCCCCTCCCCAGCGAAGAAGCAGAAGGTTGCTGATGTCTGCGTGGTGGACGCCTCCAGCATCCCCCATGCGCTCCTCTGGGAGGTAAAGGTCAACACAAGCGTCCAAGTCCAGCTTCAGATCCGCGCTAACCACAACATCTACCTCATCAACAAGGAGTCCAAGGATATCAGCATTGCAATTCACACGATGCTGGCGCAGTTCGGGAAGGGAAGCTTTAAGATTCTCACACAAGAGGAGCTAGACAAGAAGAAACACCACCAGTGGGAGATCAAGGACGAGAAGGAGCTAGTGGTGATGAACAATGTGGTGCAAACTGTGGGAGCAGCTATGCAGGCTGTTGCCAATGGGGTGCCGAGGCTCGCCTACCACAAGATCACGATCAACGACGCAGACCCGAAGTGCTTCACTGCTGAGCTCACTCACAAGATTGCTTTCGTGGCTGCTGAAACTAGCTCAGAACAGGCTGCAGTCACCCCGGCCAACATCGCATCCAAGGAGCTCCCAAGTGTGTGGATGAACGAGGGCACCATAGTCATGTGGATGGTGCGCTGGAACTCGACCAAAGGATTGATGCCGATCAAGCCTGCAGTCTACCTCAAGGGAAATGTGACGCTGGGGGCGGGCAAGGCGTGCCACTGCTCAGCGGTGGCCACTGCTGCGTGAGGCTGGCCAGGACAGTATGTGGAAGCCAGTGCGCTGGCATCCATCAGATTTTGATTACATGCTGGCAGATGTTAGAAGTGACATGTGGTTGCCCCACCCACTTCTTCTTCTCCAATCACATGCCCCCCCCAACCCGCCCCTGGAGCAACCACTTAGCAGACAGCTTGCCTGCGCAAGACGATGTTGGCATGTATTTTTTTGATGCCTGCAGAGGCCAGTGCAAGACGAGTTTGGCATGTATCTGGGGTGCCTGCAGGACTCTGAGTGGAAGTAACGCACTGTCGAGGTTGCAGGACTTGGGAGCTCACGTGATGTTCAGAGTCTAGTCATGGAAGTTATCTGAAAGTGTTATCCCCACCTACACTGTGTTGCAATGTATCGCTATATGCGTTGCATTTGTGTTGCAGTAGATGTTATGTGATGGGGTGTTGCAACTAGAATGCCCTTGCCAATCTATCGTGTTGGTAGAGATGCCCGTGCGTGCCAAGGTGTAAGAGTGTTCCCGGATCCCCTGCTGAAAAGCAACACAGACACATATAAGCCTTACTGTTCCTTGCCAATGACTCCTCCTTGCTGCCGCTCGCTGCTGGGAGAAGGTGGAGGGCGACGACGAGGAGGCAGGATCAAGGAGAACAAGAGAAAGCGCTGACATGCCAGCAAGCTGGCGGCCAGCAAGCTGGCGGCCAGCAAGCTGGCGGCAAATCAGGAGGATATGAGGAGCAGGAAAAGATGGGATGAGGAGTACAATAACGAGGGAGCAAGAGAGGAAGTAACATCATCATTATCATCGCCGTTATCATCATACTAAAACCTCTGCTAGCTGTTCCACATGTCCTCCTCCTCTTCTTCCTTCTCCCCCTCCTCCCCCTCCTCCTCCTCCTCCTCCTCCTCCTTCTCCTCCTCCTCTCTTCCTCCTCCTCCTCCTCCTCCTCCTCCTCATCATCATCATCATCATTACCATCATCATCCATCTCTCTCAGTTGAAGGCCAGCTCGCTGGCCGCCAGCTTGTCGGCTACCATGTCTTTCTCATCCTCCCCTGTCTTTTCTCGTAGCCGTTTTGGCCCAATCTGTCAATGTCTTGTGGATGTGGGTTCGCAGTGCTCCTCAGGAGCGATGGCACAGCCGTGGGCTGCGGCTGCCCTGACAATGGTGTGCTGGACATCCCAGCGCTGCCCGACGGCCTCACCTACGCGGAGGTTGCCGCTGGGTGGATCTGTCCTCGCAGCGCTCGTCAGATCTGGCGGCACTGTGGCGGCGTGCGGCGGAAATAATCGCAGCCAGTGCACCATCCCAGCGCTGGACCTATGTGTGACCTACACGCGCATAGCCGCTGGAGGCTGGAACGCTGTGCTGCTCAGGAGCGATGGCACTGCTGTTTCCTGTGAGTCCGCACGCTGAGGGAGTACAGGTTCAGGCCTGAGGTGGAAGTAGCGTGGGCCCCAGAGTTGGGCCCACGCCTCTGCTATGTCGCAGCGTCTGTCTGCGGGCAACGATCACATCGTGCTGCCGAGGAGCGATGGGGCCGCAGTACCCCATGGCCTAAAGCCGCCTAGGGCGCGCGAATTGGCCAGCCGGGCCTGCGAAATCCCAGCGTTGGTTGGAGTCCTGACCTACACTCAGGTCTCCGCTGGGACTTACCACGCGGTCCTGCTCAAGAACAATGGTACTGCTGTGGCCTGTGGCGACAACGAGTTCGGACAATGCGACATCCCGATGTTGGATGGACGCCTGCCCTACACGCAAATTGTGGCTGGAGGGTACCACGCAGCAG